CTCTTAATTTTTCTCCTGTTTCTCAGTTGACAGTGGACTTGTGCCCAAACTCTGGCTGAGGAGTGGAAGGACTTGAATAGAACCTCATCCAAATTCCTGGCTAGCAAGTCTGTGTTCCTAGTGGTGATGGTAGTAGTAAAGTTATGGTAGTGTTTGCACAAGAAAAATGTGAAAATTCAGGACCAAGTTTGGGGAAAAAGTAGAGCAAAACAAAATAGATCAAAAGCTGGGAATTAGTAAAAAAGAAGTGGATGAGGAAGAATCATATGAAGAAAAATGAGAAAAGCAAGTGAAAATGAGGGCATGCAAAAAATACATGAACCAGAAAATTAAATCTAGGAATGGGATGATTACAGAGAAGGAAAGATGATTCTGTGTCGCTGGTAATCAGTAGAGGAGATAGTCACGGAGGATTTACCCATCAAATATCGTGTGCCTCCAGCACGCAAGTTTCTCTCCTGCCTTCCTCCTCTGGGACTGTCTGAAGGACCAGAGTACGTACCACCACATCTGTTAACCCTTTGCTATTGTTATGTTGTTAATTGTTAGATGTGTCTTGCTTCCTCCTCTCACAACCCCACAAAGAAACAAAAGTGCTTGATCCAAGATCCCCGAGGGTATCTGTCCCCTGAGAGGGTCAGCTTGGCCAGGCTACAGCATCCAGTCACTCAGTCAAACTCAGTTTAGATGTTGCTGGGAAGGTATTTGGTAGATAGTTGACTTTAAGTAAATGAAATTATTCTCCATAGTCTGGGTGGGCTAAATTCAGTTCATTGAAAGGCCTTGCAAGCAGAACTGAGATCTCCCTAAGGAAGGAGAAATTCCACCTGCAGACTGTGGGCAGTTCCTGCCTGGAATTGCCGGCCTGCCTTCCTGAAGTCCTGTCCATGGCTTTCTGACTTGCCAGGCCCACAGTCACATGAGCCAATTCCTTGAAATAAAACTCTGGATGTATGTGTGTATGTGTGTGAATCTTATGGCTCTGTCTGGTAGAACCCTGAGTGATACATCCCTAAACCTTTCATTCTACTTAATATTTGTGTCACAGCAGTTGGGTATGTTAGTAACTATCTTGCATTTTCTCCTTCACGGATGACAGTCTTGTGGCTCCTTTCAGCCTGGGCATTTTCTCCCACCACATCAGGTGCAAAGTATACATACCCAACTGCTGTGCCACGTATATATAAGCAAATGACTATTTGTCATTGTTATGATAATATTAGGTCACAGATGTCACAAGGCTTTGGGTGGAATTGAGCTCAGTGGCAAAATTAAGCAACCTGAGCTTCAGAACATCCCATATGGGAAAGCTTTAGTTCGGCACCAAGTGCAGCAGGGAAAACTCAAATGTTTGCCTTGGGGACATGAAATCCTCGTTGTGGAGCTTCTCAACCGAATGCCTTGTGGTCCTTTTCTTTCTCTGTATTTAGCTTCTTGGTAAAAACTCAAGCTTTAAGAAACTATTTCACAAATTCAAACGGGCCAGAAAGGAGGAGTGAGAAAGGGAAAGTATCAAAACGTTTTCCCCTTTTCTAACTTGTTCTACTGGTGAATAGTGACTGATGGGAGACCGACAGCCCTCCTCTAGATGAAATCAGGCAGAGCTGAGAACACGGGAGTTGGAGGGAATGTGGCTCCTCCCACGTCATGGGGCAGCATGGAGGACCCTTCTCAGGCATTAGTTGGGAGCTGTTAGCTCAGATGACACAAACCAAAAGGAACTGCTCTTGGGGGACGCACTTTTCTTCTATTTTGCAATCCTAAAAGTGATTTTTTAAAAATCGGCTCTAAAAATACTCAATACGATTCTAAAAGAGCCAAGCCAAATAACACGGCAAGTACAGGGTGGCTTCCGTATTTGCATACTTCCCAGGTTGAATACTAAAATGAACACTTGGGGCTGTTTGGAATGTTGGCCTGGAAACCAAGGGTGAGGGACAGTCTGCAGGCCGCCTGGCTGCCTTTCACAGCATTCCAGAGCATTCCAGAGCCCACGGGGGTGCGAGGGGCCACAGCCCAGGCCTTCCAGCAGCCTGGAGAGAGGGCAGGGAGCCACCCTTCCTGCCTCCAGACCTCCTGCCAGGGAGAGCAGGCGGCAGTGCCTGTGTTCCACACAGGCTTCTTGACGGTTCCGGGCGTTTCTGTGGGCCTTCTGTAGCTCTCCCCTACCCCCACGATGCGCCTGACCCCTTACAGCTTTGCTGTTGGGAGGAAAGGAGGCGACCCTCCTCACCTTCGCAGTGACCTGCACGGACTGATTCGCTTTCCTTAGCAGCCACAGTGAACATGGGGTAGGGTGATTTAGAACTCGCAGGAAACCCGTGAGATCCCACTTCACCCCACCAGATTAGCCATACTTTGCAAGGGTGAGGACACCAAGCGTGGCGAGGCTGAGGCGCGGCGGGACCTGTTCCACACCGTGCTGGAGGCCGGGCCGCAGCGAGGGGGAGACGCGCGCTCTGGGCCCTTTGCGCGTGTCCCTGGCTGCCCTGCGCACAGGAGCCCCAGACTAGCCCCAGGCCCACGGCCGCAGGGTGGGAGAGTAAACGCAGGTCCCTGCATGAAGGAGATGGACACGCAGGCTAATCTGAGAAACAGGATGGTGAGAGACAAGTCATGCAGGGACGCGCGCTCAGTGATTCCGTTTACAGGAAGATGAGAAACGGACCAGCGGCAAACGCTGCGGCTGAGGAATGTGGACACGGGCGGCCGGTCTAAAGCGGGAAAGCCGCCACCGCAGAGGGCAGGTGCGGGCCAGAAGCGGGCGGAGTGTGCGGCGGTCGAGGCCGGGGGGTTTGCTTTGTAACTTCTGGAAACGTGGACTGTGGCTTGTTCAGTCTCGATGCGTGTGTGTCCCATGTGCGCACACAAAACGAAACGCAAAGTGGCTGTCCAAAAGGTTGCTGCGGGTCCCAGTGAGTGGCCCTGGCCCTCGCCGGTGGCGTGGCTCTGGCGGTCCTCGTTCCCGGGCCGGGCCCCTGCTCCCGCCTCGCCAGCGCGCGCTCTGCAGACGCAGGTGTCTAGACCCGCACACGGACCCGAGGCACCGGGGTGTCGCCCGCCGAGCTGGTTAAGGGGCACGGCGGGGGTTTTGAACCCCTTTTCTCGCCTCTTGGGGGACCCCTGGGGCTGCCCTGGAGGCCCAGGCACCTGGAAGCCAGGCCCGGGCGCCCCAGGCTCGCGGTAGGGCAGAGGGCGCCTCCCTGCAGGCCGCTGTGCCGGTCCCCGCAGAGCCCTCGGCCGAGCAGGCCCCCAGCTCCGAGATGGCCTCTGGGCAAAGACAGGCTCTGCCCGCACCCCGGGGAGGGAGACGCGCTGTGGACCAGCGGCCCGGGCCGTGGCTGGGGCCGGGTGCGCGCGTGGGGAGGTGCCCCGGGGTAGGGAGACCGGGCCCAGCCGAGGACAGGCGGGGCCGCCCAGGCCGCGATGGGAAGGGCGGGCCGCACCGTCCACGGAGCCAGCGCCGCTGCCTCTGCCCCACCGAGCTGCGGGAAAACACAGCGCCCAGACGTATCCAATGAGACCCGGGGCGGCGGATTCCGCGGAGTGCTGCCCGTCTGGACCGTGGAGGGGAAAAGGTAGCGGCTTCCCTCCGCCCGCCCTCCTGCCAGTGGAAATGCCCAAGGGGGAGGCATCCTCCGACGGGAGGGGCCGCAGATCATTATCTGCGCTTCCCTGCCTCCGTCCCAAAGCCACGTGAGGCCAAGGAACACAGGTGGCTGATCAGACGTCCAACCTCAACACATAACAACTTGCCTCTTGCTTTGAAATTTACATTGCAGAAGATTCTAGGGCCCCACCTTAGCAAACAAACCCATGGTTCTAAGCTGCATTTCATCAAAGAATATCACTTTTTACGAACTCATTAAAAGTTGAACAAGGCCGGACTTGCAGGCGGGTGAAGCCTGGAGAGCACCTTCCCACGTCTTTTGGTGGCTCTAATCTTACTCCCCCCGGGTCCTAGGCAGAAATCTAGAAAATCCTTCCTGCCCTTTTCCTAGGATGCCCCCTCCTCACGCTCCCCTTGTCCTCAGCCTCTCCCACTCCCTGCAGCTGCAGGCTGTCCGTTGGTTGTAGGGTGAGATGAGGAGGCAGGGAGGTCAAGAGGAATTGATTTCAAACCCTAGTGGATTGCAGGGACGGAAAAGGTGAATTTGTGTTTGACCATTTCACACACAAAAAAACCATATATATATATATATATATATGACCTTTTTTTTAGACCGAGTCTCGCTCTGACACCCAAGCTGGAGTGCAGTGGTGCAATCTCAGCTCACTGCAACCTCTGCCTCCTGGGTTCAAGCGATTCTTGTGCCTCAGCCTCCTGAGTAGCTGGGACTAGAGGCATGCACCACCATGCCCAGCTAATTTTTTATATTTTTAGTAGAGACAGGGTTTCATCATGTTGGCCAGGCTGGTCTCAAACTCCTGACCTCAGGTGATCTCCACACCTCGGCCTCGGAAAGTCCTGGGATTACAGGCATGAGCCACCACATCAAGCCATTTATAACATACAATAATATTATAATTTTGTCCTGCAAAATTCAATCAAAATACTATCATAGGTTGAGCATCCCTAATCTGAAAATCCAAAATGCTCCAAAATCCAAAACTTTTTGAGCACTGACATGAGATAGCGATACCTTTGCTTTTCTGATGGTTTTGTGTACACAAACTATTTCATGCACGAAATTATTGAAAATATTGTGTAAAATTACCTTCAGGCTAGGTGTGTATGAAACATAAATAGATTTTTTGTTTATTCCCAGATCCCTTCCCCAAAATATCTCATAATGCATATGCTAATATTCCCAAATCTGGAAAATATCAGCCATCCAAAACACTTCTGGTCATAAGCATATTAGATAAATGGTACTCAGCCTGTATAGTGCTTTGGAGAAGATTTTGGGATCCTGCTTTAAAGAAGTTAGGATGGAAGTAGTGGTCATGAAATCGTCTTTTTACAGAACTCATCTATGCCGCCCATTTTCTCCATGTAGGAAGGAATCGTGTCTCCTAGCGACCTGGACCTTGTCATGTCAGAAGGATTGGGCATGCGATATGCGTTCATTGGACCCCTGGAAACCATGCATCTCAATGCAGAAGGTATGTATCTGGGGCCAGGTTAGGAATTCCATTCTATTTAGTGTTGTCATGGGTTTTGTAAACCATCACATTTTGCCTTTTCTTACAACTGAATAGAGACAGTAGGATATATAGGAGATGATGGCCAGCCCTGGTGTTTCACAGACGAGGCAGGGATGCGAAACGCTGTGCACTGAGATGTCAGTCCGTGCAGAGTGCGTGCACCGCAGGGCTCCGTGTGGTGCGTTCTGTTCTTCTGCTCGAAAGAAGAGAGGTGGGTGATGTCACGGAAACTCCGCTGCGTGTCACCCAGCCTGGCAGAAGGGAAAGTGGTAGTTTCCTGAGGAAGATGATGACATTATTTCCAGAGGCAAGAAGAAAAAACAGGAGGCTGACTTAACCCTTAACCCGCAGGGACCTCTGCTGGATGTATCTTCTGCCCAAATATGAGCGAGGTTTTCTTCTAGAAGGCTAGGGGGCCCACAGTGAGGGCTTCCACAGGCTGGGAGCTGGGGAGGGGCCTGTGGGTGGGGCAGACCAGACACTGGCCAGATGCCGCCTCCAGAAGGCTTGGGGGGAATTAGGTCTGAGCCCATTATCTGTGATCTGGTAACTCGAAAGGAAAGACGACTTGAGAAGGACAAGAAGCTTCCGAGAGTGAAACTCTGTCAACCAGATTTTAATTGATCCAAAAAGAAGATGTCATTTGATAACCAATAAAACTTATAGCACATTAAAACGAAGTAAATTTTAAAAACTATGTATAAAATCTGGAGAGAGATGTAACCTAGATGTTATTATTGCCAGCTATCTCTTGGTACTGAGATTGTAAGTAACTGTTAGTATCTTTTTGCTTGTCTGTGTTATACATTTCTACAGCTACTATAGATTAATAGTAATATTACTAACTTGGAAAACGTATAGAAAGATAAAAGAACTATTGTATGCAGCTCCATGGTCTGCATTTAACAAAGGATACTGAGAAGCTGGGGCTTATCTAGAAAAAAGTGACCAGCTCTCTTGTATGTCTCTCGGTCTGTATCTTTTGTGGGGTGGAAGTGGAGTGAAAGACTGGAAATGGCAAGCAGACAGACAGGTTTGGGCTCAGTACATGGCAGGAAGAACTTTCTAGTAACAGGAGCTGATGTCCAGGAAAGGTCCATGCTTTAAGTGGGTAACTGAGCAGGGGGCTTGGTTGCCTGCCTGTGGGAGGTTTAGAAGTTGAGAGGAAGCTCCCTCCATGAGAGGGGAGGTTAAGAGGTTGTGACCTCTCTCCGTCTGTTTGACTTCAGTTCTATAGTTTCAGTATTACATTTTGGTAATAGTTCAGTCAATTTTCACAGTAGTTAATGAAATGTGCTGTCTGATGAATAATTCAAGGCAGCTTTACTAGACCTGTTCCTGCACATAGCAGGTGCACAGATGATTTCTGAAGTGGATGGGCCGCGTGTCCTCTGCTTCAGTCCTGATCAGAATCAAGCTAAGAGGAGCTAAGAGGAGCGGAGGGAAGAGGGGAATCTGCTCCAGCACTTGTGTGTTAGTTTTATGGGAAGATAACCACTGAAGAGAGGAAGATAATGTAGAGAAAGACGGCCTCATGCAATGAAACAAGAGTCTTGTTGTATTATTAACACAAAGTCTTAGATCATTTCAAACGGTGTTTTCAACCAGAACCTCAAAACTTGTGAGCGTATGTAAGCATTGGAAATGTATTTAGATTTGTATATATATTTAAGCATTTGAAATGTATAGAAATTTATACATTTGAAATGTATATAGACGCTGCCTGATAACCACGGTGTTTTTCTTTCTTCTTTTTTCTTCTTGAGAAAAATAAGATAATTGAGGTGTCATAATAAATAGATAGGGACAGAACTGAGAACAGCTTTGACTTTCAAACAAATAGAAACAGAAGCCAATGAAACCAGAAACTCAAGAATCAAATAGAGTGGCAGACAGGAAGGAGGCCCATAACAATTTTTCAAACAAAGCAGATATGATAAGAAAACCTAATTGGCTTCATATGATAATGGTGGACGGATGTAGCTTTCAACTTCAGAGCATTCCAAAGACCAGAGTTGGAGAGTTATAAGATCTGGCCGGGAACCCATGGAGATGTTCATCATTCTTCCCTGTGTCACCCAGAATATATCAAGATTGGAGTTGGGAGAATTTTTCTTCTCTTCTGATACTGTTTTCATAAAGCCAGCATCTCAGGTTAAGGATAGTTATTAGCCTGAAAAGCTACCATTTATCTAGAACTAGTGCAAATATTTTAGGATTTATTTTTAATCTAATGAAATAGTGTCTGAGAAACAGGAGGCCAGCGCGCCATTGCCTTTTGGCTCCTTTTACAAACAACACCCTTGAAGGACGCGCCCTCAGAATGGTGGTTCTGGCCTGTGGAGCCAGTGGGCCAACTCCTTACCCTGGCTTTCCAGCCTACTGGCTGTATAACCTTGGGCAAGTGACTTAAGTTCACTGCGTCTCAGTTTCCCCATCTGTGAAATGGGGACAACAGTAACTGCTTCCTCAGGGTGGTGTGAGAATCGAACCAGATGGAAGCTCTTAGCTGGATTGCTGGCACCTATTAAGTCCTTAATAAATGTTGTATTCAAACAGAGTTTTGTCTTGTTTGTTTCATGTACTACTTTTCTAGTTTTTTTTGTTGTTGTTTTATTTTTAGTTTTTAAAATTCTTCCAAAAAGATTCACAAGTGCAGAGAGAGGAATAAATACAGATTAGGATTTTTGCTGTGGCGTGGAGAAGCCTCTAGAGCCAGGTACCTAGAGTTTCCCAGCCGGGTTTATTTCTTTGCTAAGCTTTAGACTCACAGGTCAGTAGAGAGACGAACTGCTCTGTCTTGTCCCTGGGGCTGTTTGGGTTCCTCCTGCGTTTTGTTCCACTTGAAATGAGGACATCTCAGAATCTGGCAGCATGGAAATCACCTCCAGGGGAAGTGGATGTTTATTTACCATTTTGCCTCACAGATTTCCTCTCCTGTGTAGACACTTGCCTTTGTTAAAACTGAGATGCCTGGTGGCTAGTGGGTTTGGTTGATTGACGGGAAGTGATTATTTGCCAGCCAGTGGAAGAAGGTGAGCCGATGGGCGGGGACTTGGTGAGGTAAGGTGAGGGGCCCAGGTCGGTTCTGCCTCCCCTACCCTGGGCAAGTCCTCACTCAGGTGGGAATTTGATCCTGAGAGGAGGAATGAGATAATGTCGCTCTGTGCTTTGAGGCATTTTTGATCTTCCTTAATGAGTTCTGTGAAACCCTGTCTCCAAAAAGCAGGTGATTCACATAGGTACGGGTTCCCAGCTGTGTGAAGGAAAGCCGGACTTCCCCGGTATGGGTGGCAATCAGGGCTCTCCAAGGAGCTGATGTCTGGAATCCCTCCTAGTGGCTGTGGCCTCAGGCTGGGGTCAGGGCCTCCTCTGGTGCCTGCTCCATACATGGGAACAGAAAGGATTCCTGCCTGTGCACCTGGGCACTCACTCAAACCCGCTGTTCCTCAGAGGCCCACAGCCCAAGGCTTCCAAGTTAGAAAGCAGCAAGTTAAGCTACATCCAATCTCACGAGAATCAATTCTTTTTTCTACCTTTTTTCTTTTTCTGCATAAGCGTCTCTTAAGAAATTAGGTTCAGAATCTTCTAAAAGGCCAAGCTGTACAAGGATTTTGGAAGAATTAGAACTCAGAAGGACAGAGGGCATGGAAGCATAGACGAAAAAATACAGGGGAGGCTGGATTCGATAGAAATCATGGGGAAGGGCAGACCAGGGGGATCAAAAGTGACGTGGGCTGTGTTGTGCTTTTCCTATTTCCAAAGAAATTGGCATTTTAGAGTAATTTACACCCAATTCCCCTCTTATGGTATAGAGAAACCAAAATAATTGTTGAAAATAAATTATACCTCCCTAAAATGGAAGGGGGGGAGTTGCAAAGAACAATCACAGTCATAAGTTTACTGGAACATGGTTGTAAATAATCAGGCAGGTGCAGGTCGTCAGTCTAAGTCATGGCGAACTCCTGCCCTTGGAGGCTGCACCCGTCTCATGGTGAGCACGTGCTGTGGGAACCTGAACTTTGTCACAGACAGTGAGGGCTCTTCGTCCCAACAGCATGTTACAAAAAGTTTTTATATCACTAAGACTGACATTTCAAAGGGTTTCCTGAATAAAAATGGGGAAAAGTATGAATTGCACTATCATGAGTTCCAGCTTTATTCCAGAATAAAGCATTAGAATAAAATGCTTTATTCTGTTTTGTAGAAATAGATGTCCCTTTAAAACTTTACAAAAGCAGAAGGAAAGAAAGTTCTAGAAAGCTCCTGGGAGATTCAAATGGTTTCACAGGACAGGAGGAGATAAACACTTGCTCAGAGAATGTTCCAGAGGGCAAGTGCTGCATGAACTGAACCCCTGGCCTGTTGCTGCTCTGGTAGGAGAGGGAGATGGAACCGGCTGCTGAGGGGTCTTGTGAGGGCACCTGCCTGCCTGCAAGGTGGGGATATGCAGCCACAGCCACTCTTCCCATTTTCTTCTAATTTAATATATTTTCAACTTGATTCTTGTGTCTCTGCCCCTCACCCCAAAAGGAAAGAATAAACTGTATTTGTGTCTAGATTTATCTCCTTTCGTTTTAATACATAAACAACTAGCAAAAGTGAAGTAAATAATTTCCCAAATGAAATAAATGTGTAGGTTGTTTTCTGTTCTCCAGAAACGCTAGGCCACCTCCAGTACCTGTGCAGTGCTGGAAAGCTCAAGAGCCTTCCAGAATTCTGCGCTGCCAAATCAGCACAGGTTAAATGAGATGAAACCCCTTCTTTTACAAACAGAGCACCCATCCGTTACTTTCAGGTGCGCATGTCAGAAAAGTTGGTGTGTTTGAGTCGTTCACCATTCAGAACCATTTTGGGGGAAATTTTAGCACACTGAGAGAGAATAACTATTTGAAGCAAATAAATTGCAACCCAGTGATTTTAGGCTTTCACATCAGCATAGGTCAATCAAAACTAAACCCCAAAGCTGATGTTTGTTTGTTTATTTTTTGCTTTTTGAGAGTATCTAGTACTGATGGTTCGTATTTTAAGTTGATCATCCACAGTTTTTGTGGGGAGTGGGAAGCTGAGCTGGGGCAGGCGCTGCACGTTCTCCGGCTTCCTTGGTCCCCGTGCTATCGTTGTAGGCGGACTGACCAGTTGCTGAGCCTTTAAGGGTTTGAAAGATGTGGGAAACGGTCAGGGTGGCGGCAGTAGCCCAGGCTGTGTCCTCCATGGCGCCCAGAACCAGAAACGCCGCCTCCTCCCTTTCCAGGATCCTGGCGCGGGCTTCTGACTTGACTTGCTAAGCACAGGCCGGCACCGGCGCATTCGCCTCCCGGCAGCAGGGAGGGGAGGAATGTGAGGGAGAGTGAGTCTGCTTGGCCCGGCGGGCGGGTCGGGGCAGGCTGGTGCCGGGTGGGGGCCGTGACTGGCCTGCGCTTTCCCCTGGGCGCACCCCATTCTTGCGCAGTCAGCCTAACCCGTGCGGCTCCCTCCCTCTCCCTCCAGGATAAGTCTCTTCACCAAAGTCCCAGGGCCCTCTCCTTAGAATCTGAGAAATCATGGCTCCCCAAGGCTGGGGAGCAGCAGGAGCGTGGGGAGCGTGCATGGGGGCTTGTGCAGCCGAGCGCCTGGCTCCATCCACCCAAACCAGCAGGGCACAAGCCAACATGAGCTCTCCAGCCAGTGCTTCAAGTACCTGCAGCCTTGATGGTACCCAGTACAGTGGGGTCTCACTCTGTCACACCAGGTTGGAGTGCGGAGATGCTATCTCGGCTCACCGCAGCTTAGTGCTAACAGATCTGTGGCCTAACAGTGAGATAAGTGATGGGTTTACCTGAGATCTGACATCTTTAATTCTTGGAAAATGCGTTTAAGCGTTGTACACAAATAACCCCGTACATGGCTGGAGGAAACACTTTTGGTGACATTAGGACTTACTGGGGTAGCCAACAAATCCGTGTGTGAACGCGGGCCAACCGGAGTGTCCCGTGAGATCGTGAGATGCACCAGCAGAGGTGGCATGCGAGGTCTGAGGGACCTGGCACTTTTTTTTTTTTTTTTTGAGATGGAGTCTTGCTCTGTTGCCCAGGCTGGAGTACAGTGGCGTGATCTCAGCCCACTGCAACCTCTGCTTCCCAGGTTCAAGCAATTCTCCTGCCTCAGCCTCCCAAGTAGCTGAGATTACAGGCACCAGCCATGCCACCTGGCTGATTTTTTGGTGTGTTTAGTAGAGACAGGGTTTTACCATGTTGGCTAGGCTGGTCTTGAACTCCCAGCCTCAGGTGATCTACCCTCCTTGGCCTCCCAAAGTGCTAGGATTACAGGCATGAGCTACCGTGCCCAGCTAGGCCCAGCACTTTTTGACATTCGAACACCCAGGAGCCAGTGTGGGCAGTGGGTAATGGGGAGGGTTGTTTCTCCGGTGCCAGCAGGCCCATACACATTCCCCAGCTCTGTCTTGTCTTCACAGGGAGGGAGGAATATAGCTTATCTGACCCCAGGGTAAAACTCTCTGAACGCATTTCTGAGTTTAAGAATGTTTTTAGGCGGGCGGATCACAAGGTCAGGAGATCGAGACCACAGTGAAACCCCGTCTCTACTAAAAATACAAAAAATTAGCCGGGCGCGGTGGCGGGCGCCTGTAGTCCCAGCTACTCAGGAGGCTGAGGCAGGAGAATGGCGGGAACCTGGGAGGCGGAGCTTGCAGTGAGCCGAGATCGCGCCACTGCACTCCAGCCTGGGCAACAGCGTGAGACTCCGTCTCAAAAAAAAAAAAAAAGAATGTTTTTTCTGAGATTGTGGATTCTTGTCTTCATGCAATTCCAGGTATGTTAAGCTACTGCGACAGATACAGCGAAGGCATGAAACATGTCCTAAAGACTTTTGGACCCATTCCAGAGTTTTCCAGGGCCACCGCTGAGAAGGTTAACCAGGTGCGTAGACTCACTGTGGAGAAGCATGTCGGCCACCTGCAGCACTTGCCGCCCCTCACCTCTGCGGTGGGTGGGCGTGCATCTGCAGCTGGAATCTTGGCCCTTGATCTCAGTGTTTCCTCATTCATAACTTTGTTCGTGCTTCCATCATGTCACCAGGACACCTTAAGGACAGGGTGACCAGTAAACTGGTAGCTCACTGTGACTTCTCTCTGAGGGACTGAGGTCTTTCAAGATTTGGAAAGCTGCCGTTCACTGAGGGTTTACTGCTTTTGCTTTCAAAGCAGTTTCTGCACAGTTTGCATAAACAAGAGCGATAATTACACTCCTGGTAAATTATTTCCTCTTTATTGTCCTTTTTCTCCTTCTCCTTCTCGCAGGACATGTGCGTGAAGGTCCCTGATGACCCAGAGCACTTGGCTGCCAGGAGGCAGTGGAGGGACGAGTGCCTCATGAGACTTGCCAAGTTGAAGAGTCAGGTGCAGCCCCAGTGAATTTCTTGTAATGCAGCTGCCACTCCTCTCATTGGAGGCCCTGTTTGGGAACCCTGGAGCTCTTCATCAGCCCTCTGTGACACAGGGAGCAGCCCACGGAGATCCTAAGCTGGCTGTCTTGTGTGCAGCCCGAGTGCAGTGGTGCAGGC